GGATTCACTTAACACTCATCAAATAACTTCAAAATCTCATTAAGTCGAAGGTCTTTTTCTCAAACTAATAAGATCTCCAATGATCAAATGTTCTTTTAAATAATCATTTAACTCATAAAATATATCTCATTACAAGTCACATCGAAAATCTCTTCAACTTATAAAATTGTGCTATATCAAAGTAATTACACATTTTTTTTAACTACAAGATCCAAAAGTAACATGTAAATATCAACCAAAATAATTACACCAAGAATTCATTAAATCGTTGATTCCTCAAAATTCATTGAAACTTTAACTACTCCAAAAATTTATCGAATCATTTACTTATACTCACCACTATAGTCTATGAATCAAAGTTATGTCCTTGGAAAATCATCATATTATCCAAAAGTTATTATTTAAATTCTTAAAAATCTCCATATAGTATTAGGATCATAATCATGCTCGTATAATAACTCTTTTAATATAATGATTATACATTACGTTCTTAGAAAATCATCTTTAATCTAATTATCATAATTTAACTTTATAGATATCTTCAAAGATCATAATTGTAGTTCTTAAAAAATTCTCAAAATCATAATATATGCTTTTTAACATCTCAGATAGTTTAAATATCATAAACTGAACTCTTAGAAAATCTCCAAGAAATATAATTTAAGCTTTTAAAGAAAATATCATCACAATCTACAAATCAAAATATAACTCTTAAAAATTCTTCAAAGATTATAACTTAAGCTCTGATACTACTTTATGTTACACCCTGAGATCGAGATATAATACGATCATATTACTTTGAAGTAAAATCTCAAAGCAATACGAATCCTAATCTATAACCATTAAAAAATTCTCAAATAAAATAAGGTTCTTAATAAGTAAAATAACTAAATAACAAGTCTTCAAAGGTTCAAAATTGAGTATTACAACTAAAAGAAACAATACTTCATGAAATCCTATTCTCTAGGTAGTTCTCCAATGCTCGATTCTTCTAGCTTCTCACAAGACTAATCATACTTATCATTCATATCATCTGTAAAGAAAAAAATGAAGAATGAGCAAACTACAGCTCAGTAAGTATAGGTTCAATCACCTTATCAAATCAAACATTATTTTCATACGTATGATATAAATCATTCCAAAAAAATTCATTAACTCATAATGTCAAAAATAGTTCAAAAATCAACATTCTATCAAGCAATCATAGATCATAAATCAATATCAAATATGTCACCAAATCATGGATCAATTTGTAAAAATCATTCATTACAAATCATCATTATGTTTCATTTATCGATAGTTACAGTCATTGTTATAACCCATGACATTGGCTGTATCGACAATTTCATCTTCATGATCATTGCTAACTATTATAACCCATTAGCAAGGGCTTTACACTAACTACTATAACTCATTAGTAGGGTCGTATGATCATGTCTATGCTAACTACTATTACCATTAGTCAAGGTTATAAAACTAGTTCTAGTATCGATGATCTCACTTCCTAGGATGTAAAAATATAGCGATCATAAAATTGTTCTTCAAACATAAATAATTTTCTCATTCCATTCATAAGTATGATCCATTATTTATATAAAAAAATACAAAATAATCATATGAGTGATCCCATTTTCATACATCGAAAATAATAAAATAAAATATTCATTTATGTAGAAATATACACATATATATATTCAAAAATAAGTAAAGTGTGTGAGATTTTACTTACCTCTTTTCGATTCTATCATTTAGTTTTTCTCACAAAATAATTAATAGCCTATTCAAAATAATTTCAACATAACATTAATTAATCAAACCATTTGAGACCACTTATACCAAAACAATTAAGTAAAACAAGAATTAACTCAAGTAATTAATTTTGGCAGTATGCGCTACTTTCACTAAAATGATCATATCTCAAGATATCCAATTCAAAATTAAAATAATTTTAATGTGTTAGAAACTAGACTCAATAAGTTTTCTAACCATATATGACTCATCTCGTGATTCCTTATGGATTAATTATAATAATTTTTGCAATCCACGTCAGATGCTGCTGCCAGACAGCCTATATGCATTCTAATAAAAATTACGTATTTATTCATAGGAAACTCTAAATTCAATTTTGCTTGTTTCATTGGAAAGTAGACTCAATAAGCTTTCCAAATGTATATAGCTTAATCTGTAGTTCCTTGTATAAAATTTAAGACAATTTTCGTAATTCAACCTTGATGCTGCTACTTTACAGCCTAGATATCCTTAAGTAAAAATTAGATAACTCTCCATAAAAAACTTAGATTCAACTTCCATTTGATTCATTAGAAAGTAAATTCAACATGATTTCCAACAATATATAATAATCATAGCAATAATCTATCAATTAATACAAAATTTTATTTTATTCACTGTTATAGATCATAACATCTCATCCAAAAACATAATTTTTACTTCAATCTTTAAAAACTCAAATCCTTATTTTCAGCTTTTAACATCCATTTAATAATCATTAATAAATCTTAAGAACATGAAATAAACAAAGCCCAATAATTTACCCAAATAGATCATGAAGATTAATGAAAGATTTCATAATTTTCTTAGTTTTTCTCTCAAAACTTTAACTCCATATAATAGTATCCAAAATGGTATATTTTTCTTAAATAAAAAGAGGGCATATATTCACCATTAGGAAATTAATTCAATTGTAGTCTCTGATTTTGAATCTTTAATTTCATTTTTTTTGCTTTCTAGCCCTAAAAAAAATGAAAAAGAAGTATTCTCATTTCCTTTATGTTCCTCGATAACTAAAGTTTTCCTCAGCTACTTTTTCTTTAATAATTAATTTTTTAATTAATTTAATGGACTTTAATAATAGTCTAACCTAATTATCATTTAGGCTGGGGTATCACAGATGGTCTCTCGTCCTTGCTTTTGTTGCACAACAAGCCTTCCTTCGGTGCTTAAAAGCAATGTGGCATCACTAGTGAACGGTGGTTCATCTCGGTTTGCTGTCCATACGACAGTTTTCTGCTAGATGTTTTCAAACCAGATGCCTACAGAAAAGCCATTTCCATAGGGATAGAAACCAAAGGCAAATTGGCCAGACTCCGATAGCCAATATGAATTATTAGTTGGAGAAAGAGAAGAACCTAAAGAAATGTTGGAAACTCTTGTGTGAGCTTCTGCTGTGAAAAAAAATACAACTTAGAAGAAAAAGGTAAAGCATGATAGCCATTTTCGTTTGCCCGTCTCCTTCTGAATAGAGGTAAGTCATTTTTTAAGGCCTTGTTAAGTTCAATAGGAAGTCAGGTAGAAGATTCTACAAAAAAAAGTCAAAAGTCTACATTCTGGCTCTTAGTCCTTACGCCATCCATGAGGCTCCGAAATATTTAACAAATCTTGATTCTTCCCCAATGTAATGTTCATTCTTGACTCATTTGCCACCCTCATGCTGGGGAGGCATCAAAGGCTTGAATTTTCAAATCTTCTAAAAAAATAATACAACAACCAAGTCACTGATGAGCAACAGAAACCAAATATTTCTCCAACCAAAAAAAGAGAAGTTAACGGCTGAAGTTGCTACGCAACAAGCTTGAAAGTTGCTGAAACACATCCTTGGTGTAAATGTATACCATAAAATGAAAATCACTCAAGACCTTTCTTGGGCGTTGTCGTTGGTTATGTTTAATAAAAGACAGCCTCCAGTTGTGCACTGACTGACCGTATTATTTGACTGACACCTTGTTTATGATTGCTTTGACTCGTGCTCTAGTCTAAACCTTCTTTTGAAAAATTGATATGTTTGTTCTCTTGAATTTGATCAGATTAAACAGGATGGAATTCCATGAAACTTCATCTGCTATTATTTAGATCTGTCTTTATCAATGAAAAGAATCAGACTTATTATTATTTTAGTTAGTAGACGTATGGCCAGACGAAATATTTTGCATTTTTTGGCCGAGTATGGTCCTGAGTGACATATCAAAACCCAAGTTACATTTGCAGTAAAATTGCTAACAAAAGAATGATGAATTCACAGCCTTTGGAAAAGTTTTTGATCCTTCTGTTCCTAGGTAGAACTCTTCAAGACCTTTTTTTTTTTCCCTTTTTGTGTTGCTGTTTAGCCTTATGTTTAATTTATTCATTCTTCCTTGAACTAAATTAAATAAATAAGTTCTCCATCCACTCCTTTTCCCAGTAATTCAATCGTATAATCAAATTGTTCACCAAAATAAGATGTTGAAAGTGTCAATGCAGGAACTAATAATTTGAGAATGGGCATACTTCTAGACTGAGTAATTTTTTGCATCGTTTTTGTATATTACATTTTAATGGTCATCTTTATTTCTATTTACTATAAATCAAGACAGGCCATAACACATTTCCATTCCTCTCTCTCGTTTTTTTTTTTTTTTAAATGAAATACTCAGAAATTTTATGTAATCAGTTATTTCAAAGCCTTTTTTGTAAGTGAATCCAAAAATTAATCCAATTGATTCATATAATCACTTTTAAAAAATGACATCCAATAAATCTGAAATTCAAATATCAATTTCAGTAACTCCTATCCGCAAGCTACAACCTCTTTTATAAAAAAATTTCTTGCAAGTAATGTCTTCATAGGAGAGGTACTTTCATTAAGTTCAAATTATTGTATATTGAATATTACAATTCATCCAATTCGTGTCACTAATTCTAAACCCTAAAAAGATCAGCTCTGCAGAAAAGGTTTGTTAATCCATTTCCTTAACAAGTTTTTAAGACCTCAGGCTGAAATCATTTCATTAACCTCTTCTTTTTTCGCTCATTCAACATATCTTTAGGGAGGCAAATGCTGATGCAATAATGAATATCATGCCACTTACAAAATATATCCATGGATAAACTGTAGTATCCCATTACGAAATAAGCCTTGAAACAAATTATATTTTATGAAATTGATGATTAAAACCAGAATCCAGTAAAGCTAAGCAAGTAGAGTGAGAGGAATGAGAATTGTACATTTATTCCTTCTTCCCTTCGGTAGCGTAAAGTTGTTTAATTTCTTCAACATCATCATAGCAGCCAAGAAATATTGGAGACCGCTCATGTATCTTTGTTGGAACCAAATCAAGTGCCTACAATAATTATGAGCAAGATATTAGCAATTTTAGGGGCTTCAATTTATTGTTGTCTATGAAAATTTTAGAAACGTCTCATACCACTGCAGTATTGTTTTGTTTCAGAATAAAGCTGACGTCATTTATGCCAATAAAAATCATTACATCTTTGAAATGTGTGGTTAAAATGGAAGCATTTCTTTGCCACGGCTAGCACAAATTTAGTTAGTCATTTGATCAGCTTCATAACAGAAAAGGTTAATAATGTAAATACCCGTTGCTTGCCAGTGAATGCCTGACCTCCAGCTTGTTCCATCAAGAACGACATTGAAAAGACCTCATAGAGAACACTAGTTCACACAAATTAGTCGAACTTAGTAAGAAATTACGCCTCATTGCAAATTAACAAACCCATTAGTAAAAAATTTTAAATGGAAGTTGAAAACAATAATGCTACAGCCCTGACTGCGTTTAACATACCGCAGCTTGCCATTAGGGCTCTTTGAAGGATTTAGAGCAGAGGAAGAACAAAAAAACAGAAGAAACTAATTTGTCACTTGAAGTAAATTGACTCTGCAGATTATGAGCTTCATTTCATTAATATATAGGCTTTAACATACAAAAGTTTGTTTAACTACTACAAGAGTTGTTTGCCTAACAGTATGGATCACCATGCACAGATCCATCATGTTACCTAAACTGATCAGATGGCAGAACCTATTACAAAAGTGCTAGTAGAAATGCCATACCTAATTGCTTCAACCACTAACACACTAACACTCCTCCTTGGCATTTCTACTGGAAACACCAAGACTTTTCCTCAATGTTTCAAACCTTGCCTTTGGTAAGACTTTGGTCAGAATATCTGCAATTTGATCTTCTGACTTGCAATGCACCAGTTTCACTTCATTCTCAGCTTCAACTTCTCTAATAAAGTGATACTTGATCTTAATATGCTTAGTTCTTCCATGAAACACAGGGTTCTTAACCATTGCAAATGCTGACTGATTATCACAAAAAATTTCTGTTGGATCATCTTACTTTTGACTCAAATCCATCAAAATTTTCCTTAGCCAAATTGCTTGATTAACAGCAGCTGCAGCAGCTATATACTCTGCTTCTGCTGTTGATTGAGCCACAGTTCCTTGTTTCTTTGAATTCCAGCTGAACACATTTAATCCAATGAAAAACACATAGCCTGAAGTGCTTTTCATGTCTTTATGAGAGCCAGCCCAGTCACTGTCTGTGAATCCAACCAATCTTGAACTTTCATTCTTCTTAAACCAAATTCCAAGTTCACTAGTTCCTTTAACATATCTCAACACTCTTTTTGCAGCCTTAAAATGTAACTCACTAGGATTTTGAATGAACCTAGAGAGTAAATTTACAGCATACATGATGTCTGGACTTGTTGCTGTCAAATACAATAAGCAACCAACCAAGTTTCTATAAATAGAACCATCAACTTTGTTAGCTCCATCTTCCTTAATAAGTTTCTCATTTTGAGCCAAAGGAGTGTTGACTGGTTTGCAATTTTCCATCCCAAACTTATTCAAGATTTCATTTGCATATTTTCTTTGACAAATGAAGATTCCTTGCTGGTCTTGATGAATCTCCATTCCAAGAAAGTAAGACATTTCTCTCATATCTGTCATCTCAAAAATTTCTTGCATTTGGAGCTTAAAATCTTTCATAAGAGCAGATTTGCTACCTGTCACCAAAAGATCATCAACATACAAAGAAACAATCAACAGATCATTACTGTTAAAAACTTTAATGTACAATGTTGCTTCACTGAAGCTTTTTTTGAATCCTAACTTCAGTAAATTATCATCAATTCTGGAATTCCACACTCTTGGAGCTTGTTTTAATCCATACAAAGCCTTTTTGAGTAGATAGACTTTGCCTTCATGTCCCTTGGCAACAAAACCATCAAGTTGTTCAATGTAAATCTCCTCCTCAAGATAACCATTCAAGAAGGCAGATTTGACATCAAGTTGGTATATTTTCCAACTTTGCTGAGTTACTAAGGCTAATAGTAGCCTTATGGTGTCCAACCTTGCAACTGGAGCAAATCTCTCTGAAAAATCAACACCAAGCTGCTGGGAATAACCTTTAGCTACCAATCTAGCTTTAAGTTTATTGATGGAACCATCAGCATTCAACTTTGTTTTGAAAATCCATCGAACACCAATGATGTTTTTGTTGCTTGGTCTGTCAACCAGCATCCATGTTTAATTTTTCTCAATCATTTAAATTTCCTCCTTCATGGCATTCCTCCACTCTGAAAATTTGATAGCTTCTTCAAAGCTTGCAGGTTCAAGAATGGCAACATTTGATCTTTGATAAATATCTGTGAGTGGTCTGATTCCTCTCACTGGTTCATGATCAATGATTTCATTTTCAAACATATAATCTTCTTGATCTTGGAAGCTTATCATGTCTGCAACAGTTTGCTTGATTGATTATTCCTTTGACTTTTCCCAATTTTAGGCAGCTTGCTCATTAAATCTCACATTTCTACTTACAATCATCTTGCCTGTAAGTGGATTGTAAGTCCAATAGCCTTTGGTGATGTTGCTATAGCCCAAAAAAATACATATTTCTGCTTTTTGATCAAGCTTGTCCCTTTTGATATCAGGAACAAACACATAACAGATGCTGCCAAAAACTCTGAGGTGGTGCACTGATGGTTTGCTTCCATACCAGGCTTCGAAAGGAGTGTTTCCCTTCAAAGCTTTTGTGGGCAGCCTGTTGAGCAAGTAGACAGAGGTATTGGCTGCCTCTGCCCAAAATTTCTTTGAAAGATTCTTCTCAAACAGCATGTATCTTGCCATCTCCATGATTGTTCTATTCTTCCTTTCACTGACTCTATTTTGTTGTGGAGTGTAAGTTGCTGTTAGTTGGTGTTCAATTCTTGCAACTTCATAAAACTCATTAAATCTGTCAGATGTGTATTCAGTACCATTGTCTGACCTTATGATCTTGATTTTGCAGCCACTTTGATTCTCAATCTAAGCCTTGAACTTCCAAAATACATTTACAACTTCAGACTTTTGTTTCATGAAGTAAATCCAACACATTCTGGTAAAATCATCTATAAAAGCAATGAAATATCTATTGCCATTCAAGGACAAGGTTCTCATAGGACCACAAACATCAGTATGAACAAGTTGTAGTTTTTTAGTTGCCCTCCATGCTTTGTTAATTGCAAATGGCAACTTACTTTGTTTTTCTAGCTGATAGACTTCACACATTCCAGCACTAACTTCAACAGTAGGCATGTTTAATACAAGATCATTTTTATGCATGAAATTCAATGCATTGTAGTTGAAATGTCCCATCATTTTATGCCATAAAGAAGATTCATCATGTGAAGTAGCATATGCAGAGAAGTTTGCTTCATGCCAATTCAAGGAAAAATATTTTTCTTTCATATTAACAGTGAAGAGTTCATGGCCAGTGAGATCATGAATTATGCATGCCTTGTCTTTGAAAACTAAAGAGTAGTTATTTTCTAGCAACTGTCCTACACTTAACAGGTTTTGATCTATTTTAGGCACAAATAACACATCTGAAATGAGTTTGATACCTGTTGGTGTCTCAACTGTCACTACTCCTTTTTCTTTGACTTCTATGAAATCACCATTACCTATTCTGACTTTAGAGGTGCAGGTCTTGTCTAGTTCTTTGAACATGTTGATATCAGATGCCATATGGTATGTGCAACCACTATCAATGAGCCATGCACTTGAGGAGGTTCTGGTTCCATAGTAAGTTGCAACAAAAACTTGCTCTTCTAGCTGTTGTTGATTGTTAGCAACTCTGGCTTATTGATCTGGCTACTGCTATTTTTTGTTTTTACATACCTTATCTATGTGACCAAGCTGCTTACAGTACCTACATTGTATGTCAGGTCTGTACCAGTAATATTTCTCCAAGTGAGTGATCTTTTTACAGTGAGAGCAAGGTAGAAACTTTCCTTTCTTTTCATTATTTCTAGAACCTTTATTTCTTTGATCTCTTTGTTTTTTACCTTTGCTTTCTGTTTGCATCTTACCTTTTTTCTTGGCTATAAAAGCACCTTCTGTTGAATCCTCTTGTCTGATAGCCCTTCTTTGCTCTTAAGCTTGTAAAGCATTGAACAATTCTGTTGAAGTTATCTTGGTCAAGTCCTTAGAGTCTTCAAGGGATGAGATTTTTGACTCAAACCTCTCTGGTAAGCTGACAAGAACCTTCTCTACAATTTTTTTGTCTGACAGCTCCTCACCAAGTAATCTAATCTTGTTTACTATCTTCATGAGTCTGTCATTGTACTGCTTTAAATTTTCAGACTCCTTCATCTTTAAAACTTCAAACTCTCTTCTAAGATTCAACACTTGTATTTGTCTTTTCTTGTCACTGCCTTGAAACTCTTCCATAAGCACATCCCAAGCTTGTTTTGCAGTTTCACAAGTCATGATTCTAATGAATATGTCATCAGAAACTGAAGACTCTATACAACTTTTAGCCTTGTACCTCTTTGCTTTTTTTTCACTATAATTTTTCATTTGAGTTACTGTTGGATTTGCAGGAAGTTGTGGTGGTTCCTTCTCATTTTCCACCACTTCCCACAAATCAAAAGCACTCAAATAAGTCTTCATTTTGACAGCCCATATCTGGTAGTTCTCACCAGAAAAAATAGGAGGTGAAGGTATGAAGCAATTGCTTGAGGCCATTTAAGGTTGACAAAAGCTGGCTGGTAAGTGTTTGATGGCTTTTCACTCAATTTTTTTGGAACTCACAGGTCCTCTAAGACCTTAAAGAATGCTCTGATACCAATTGAAGGATTTAGAGCAGAGGAAGAACAAAAAAACAGAAGAAACTAATCTGTCACTTGAAGTAAATTGGCTTTGCAGATCATGAGCTTCATTTCATTAATATATAGGCTTTAACATACAAAAGTTTGTTTAACTACTACAAGAGTTGTTTTCCTAACAGTATGGATCACCATGCACAGATCCATCATGTTACCTAAACTGATCAGATGGCAGAACCTATTACAAAAGTGCCAATAGATATGCCATACCTAGTTGCTTCAACCACTAACACACTAACACTCTTCTTATCTGCAGGGTATAGAAAGATCCCCCCATAGAGTAATGTGCGATGGACATCAGCTACCATGCTGTTCATCACAATCACATTATCATAAAACCAAAGTCCATATTAAAAGAAACAAATCCAGTTCATATACCAAACGAAAATATCTAGATGCGAGAAAATTAAATATTCACTGTTGATCATCTATGTGGATTAAGAAATGTAATTCATATGTAATTCATCATGATTTCCTTGTTTTTTTTTTTGGATAGGTCATTCATAGTGACTTCATTTGGACTAGAATTTGAATATGTTACCATGATGACTTGCATTGCAGTCAGATCATGTATCAAAGTAGGCATATAGCACACTGGACTTCAAAAATCTTATAAGATTGTAAAGAAGTATTATTTTCCTCAGTTATCCACACAAGGGGCCTCTAAATTGCTCCTGGCCCCTGAAATGCTCACCACATCAAATCAAACTTGTTAAATCATTTGAGTAAGTCTCTCTCTTACGGAACTTGGACCTATTCATACTCCCTTCAAATAAATTTTCAAGCTAAAAGCTCCAACCTTCCCTTAGCTTCCCCTATCTCTTCTTTCTTTCAAAGGAAGGGAGGTCGTCTTTTTCCTATTACTTAAATACCCACATCCTTAAACACCCACATAGTGGATCCTATATAAGCCACATTCATCACATCACAATTAATCAATGATAGACTATTTTACATCAGAATCAGTATTCTGACCCAAAATTGGAGAAAAAGCAGGCAAGGTAACTCCAGTAACAATAGAATCAATGATACCTTCCAATTTATCTTAAGAGACTTTGGAGAGGAACCATCCTTAGGGAACTTGCAGTTTTCCACATACCTGAAGTTCAAAAAAAAAAAGAAAGTGAAGCAACTGCACTGAAAAACAATTAGAAAATAAAACACTTGTAAACTGAATTAAAACGTACTTGGCCGTTGGACCATCCCAGTTCGTTGCATTTCATTCATTGACTGAATAGATCTTCCCTTTCTTTGGAATCTGTTAAAAAGACATGATAAACCGATGCTTCTAAATTATCCCAAACAAATCAGAGTTGCCATACAGAGACAAAATATGGACCTTATACTGTAAAACAACTAGAAATAGAAGATGAAGAGCCATTTGTTCATATATTCCGGGATGTTTTTATTATATTTGTATGATGATCATGAATGGTTCAGATACTAAAAGGATTTTAGCTTTGGACCATTGGGAATGGCATAAAACTTGCACCTAAATACGAGGATGTACAGATTACACTTATTTGCCAAAGAAAATGCATTTTAAAGTTTACTAAAATCAACTGATAGCAAAAACAAGAGTTTTCATATTAAACCCTAAGGTGTAAGAAGTTGAACCAGCAAATAGGGTAAACAGCAAATCACATGATTAATCCAATACTCACATAACAAATATACCTTTATGTCTGGGTGAGTTAGTATTAATTCTCCAAGAGATGGATCAAGGGTGAATCCATTAACTCCTTTGCCAGCGCTCAACACAAGCTGCAAAACGATTACATTAAAATATGTAGCGCAAGGCCATAATACAGAAAGTAGCCCAAAAAATGACAATGTCTTTCCATCAAGGAAAGGAAACTATTATTAAAGATAGCTGATCTAGTGCAAGAGAATACTTAAACAGATACGCTAATAAAAATGGAATACTTTCTTTACAGAAATGCAGTTTCTTCTTTAGCCCTGTTCCCCACTATCTTTTAGAAATAGAAAAGAAAGTGAAAGTACTCAAATATATACATTAAGTGAATGAAAGAGGAAGTTCACATGGCAATACCAAAGCATATAAAAACAAATCATTATACCGTGCAAGAACTTCCATACATGCAATAGCCAGCTGCTAATATATGCTTCCCAGGTTGCAGCACATCATCTAGATATGGTTCATGGTTATCTTTCACCATGTAAATCCCAAAATTCTAGATGAAAGAGAACACGTTTAGTTGACCACTGCAATATCAAGTTATCTTAAAACAATTATTACTAGGCACATACTTGGTGCTGGAACTAATGAAACAAAATATGGAATAGCATTTTAGGATGAGGAGTCATACTGTTCCAATGGAAACTCCACAATCAATGTTGGAGGAACCA